TTTGCTGAGTTTGATGTCAAAAAAAACACGTCGCATGTTCGCGTGAGTGATTGTTTGTGATCGCAAGCGATCCAGAGCATGTCATCAGGCAAAGCCTGTGTCTCACTTAACTCCATGTCTATCATGAGACCAGGTGTAAGACGTGGATCACAGAGCGCCAAGGGTAATCGGCATGATAGCTCAAACGTAATTCGCAACGTCAGAACGCAGGGCCTCCTGGGTCGAGATTGGCAGACGTGGCTGCATCTTCCTGAGAGCCTGCTTCCACTTTGAACTCGCAGCTCATAAAGCCGTGCTGCATCCCAGGTAATCCCAGACGAGGTGACAGGTGGACGCCCAGTAGCAGAAGCAGAGGTACATTTGCCAGCAGCTTGCCCCAGCACTGGAGCTATTGTTGTTGCTCTGAGCGGCCTGAGGCAGGTCGCGCGCCATTGTACCTGGACATTGAGTACTATTTGGAGCGTCAGATGGGCCCGACACTTCACCGCCTGTTCATGCTTGTTCGAGGCCGTGTTCTTGCATAGTCTCGAGCCATAGGCCATAGGCCATAGGAATACCAAAGGTTTGACAGAGCTCCTTCAACCAAACTGCAGGACCAAATGGGCTGCAAGGGCAGGTGGACGTTCGTCGTTGGATTGCGGAAGGTCCACGCCCAAAGCGCAGGCTGGTGATATGAAGAGTCTCTTGGTTCTGCTCTAGGCTTGCAGGTTCGGATACGTTTGTTTTCGCCTTCGCGCTACATGACACTAGCGTACCCCACGCTGCTCGATAGCCCAAAGTTCTTGACTGCTGAACAGGAGCCTGCCATCAATAATCAAACCTACAGGAAACCTGAGAGCACTAATTAAAGCAGAAGACAGGACTCTCAAGGCGTTTTGTGCGTTGTATTACAAAGTTGCCTGATATTCTATGCGGAGCGAGAAGAAGTGATAGGCGAAGAGAGCAGGAGTGGTTCGACATAGCTTTTGTGAGTCATGGGCATGGTGAAAGAACCGCAAACGGTACTGAGTGAGAGGGCGTTTTCGGGGGAGACGAAATACCTCAGGGGTTGTTGCGAGTCTTCGAGTCAGCAACTGTCTTGGAAGGCCATCTAGCCGTCTAACCTTGGGTTTGTGAGCTTCAATCGTTGGAATTAGCTCCCCTCAGCCTTCTGTGGCCTTCAACAATTTCGCGCGGAAAGTCTCCCAAAGTGGTGCCTATCCATTCCTGAGGTAGACCCCTGGGATCTCCTCGTAGCCCCGAAACATCCCCAGCGTCTTTAGGGCCCTTCTTTTGAGAGACTCCCATCTGGGGTAGGCACGGGCCCTCACATATGTCCGTAGCCTCGGCGTCGTTGTACATTGTACACCATTGTACACCCTTATAGAGACATAGTGCAGATAGATAGATGGGTGTCTGTACATACATAACTATATGTGAATATGGAGGTTTACAAAACTTTGGGGTCCCTTTCTGTTGTACCCTCTTATACGGATTATGTGTTCCATCAGGATCTATGCTAGGGCCCGCTTCTGGCGGACCCCACCCCATGTGACATATGACAGTATATTCTTAATTGAGGGTACCGTAGTTGACCTCACCGCCCTTCTTGAAAGCCCCTGAGTGAGAGTGCGGGTTTTGCAATAACCCCATGGAACATCAACAAGGGGGGGGGATGCTAAATAGGCCCTTGGATCATTGACGTGGAAACATCACCAGTAGGAGACCTCAACCCTGCACGCAAGCTGCTGAATCACGCTACAGTAGAATCCCTTGTCAGAGCATGCATCCAGCTCTGAAGAGTTCAGGAGCACACCCGAAGGATGTCCGTTTACCAGAATAAAGTCGAGCCATCAAAACAATCACCTTGGCCCCTCTCTGGTTTAATCTAAAAAGTTTACCACTTGCAAAGCCAAGCATAAGTGCGCAGGGCAAATCCAGGGTTTGAGTCTATAGGTGTTAACTTGGCGGGCCTTTCGGGGGTGTAACCTGGGGGAGTTGGGAGGCAGCATGTGGGGGGGTGGTCAATGTTTTGAGGAACCCCATTCTTGAAATCGCTCAACACCACTCTGCAGATGCTCCCACCCCCCGCGCAGATGCTGCACAGACGATTCTAAAGACCCCTCAGCGACCCCCGCGCATAACCCAATAACAGGTCCCCATCACCAGGTTCAGCATCACCAGACCTGTTCCAGACCCTCAGACCCCCAGCCGCCCCAAAATCCTCCAAACAGCCCTGGCCACATCAACATGTAACAGTCTTGGTAAGATTTCAGGAGACAAGTCGCCTTCACAACATTGTCCGGGGCTACGAGTAGCTTCTCATCAGCAACTCACACCATGAGAGGCCCAGCATGTCGCTCTCCCTGAACCTCCGCAGCAACGCCTAAGGATGCGACGTAAAGATCTAGTCCCAGGATCACGCTGAAATAACGGTGCCTACATTGCCATTCGAGTGGAATCCGAACCAACCGCATTTTCAAGCAGAAAATCTCGTTGCAACAGGCAAGCAGCCTCATAATCCACTAAGAAACTTAGGGAGGTTTCGAATTCCCTGAAATCCTTGCATGATTTAGAGGGCATTAGAGACTAACTCTCAAAGAGACATAGAGTGACTTAGAGTTGTTTTTGGACTTTTTAAGAGGCATGTCGAGTGTTTTAGAGTCTGACCATCAAAGCCCATTGAAATTGGGGGTCTCCCCAATGCAGGCCACCCAAAGACCTCCTAATCAAGGGCCACATTCCCCCACGCCAACTTGATGGCAAGCGAAGCTCGGATAGGTGCAGGTTGCTGGTGGAAACCATACGCCAAGGAAGCCAAAAAAGGACTTGCAAAGCAGCACAGGCTGCCGTGCAATAGCTTCAAGCAGTCTAGGAATGTGCCAGATGCTGCGGAACTGGCATTCCCGAGCACGTCCTCTCGACTTTTTTAAAACTAATGTAGTAGCATTCGTATCAGGTAGCATTGAGTAGCTCGATTCCGTAAAATGTGGATTCGGCAAGGGATGTGGCCGCGATGGCGCTTCAAAGCTCGTCATCCGCATCTGCTATGCTGAGCAGCATGGCATCTGGCTACAGCTGCCAGGCGTGCGGGCAGAGAGCAGGCGCGCCGACCTTTTAAAGAGGTTTCATGGTAGCCTCGATGCTGTCAACTTGCACAGAGCCCGTGAGCTTCGGTGCCGAGGCGTTGGGATCCGCGGTACGATCGGTCTTTGTAACCATTGCCAGCGTGGTGCAGCGGTTCCCTGGCCAGATGATTTTGGTGTGGACCAGCAAGGCAGCGCATACTGTTGCGCACGCCAACTTGTATGCGCACCATTTTTTGAATAGATTTTTGGTGCGCGGTACTGGAAAAAGTTATCACATAAATCGCAATCATCACACGCATACAACACGGTTTACATTTTACGATGGAGTGAGACATCAAAGTCGCGATGCCGCTCCTGTATCGTTAGATCATGTTTACTTTGAGAGCTGCAGGGAATCATCCCAATCATGTAGCCAAAAATCCGCTTGCCTGTCTTCTCTGGCATTCATCCCCAAGCGCATACAGTCACCGCAGCATCCATGCCAAAACACAATAGACTTCATTCCCACAGAGTCGGTGCATCCAAGCCCAAACCATGACGAAGTTCATCCCCGAGAGATACGCTGACTGGAACATCCATGATGTCTGCACGTCAAATGGGAAGCTTCCCTGTAGTTGCACTGTACAGTTTACTAAGGTTCCAAGGCTACTTGATGGTATGTGTCAAAGGGGCTACTGGGAGAAGCGCATCCAAGGCTGTCCCAGTCTAAGATTTGCGTTAGCTGCAATTCCACTACTATGCACCAAGTTTTCAGTTATCTGCGCTGAGGCAGAGAGATGTGCATGCGCTGCTGCAACTCCGTCGACATCGAGGAGGATTGCCGCAACATCTATTGCAAAGTTTTCTTCCGCAAGGCACGTTTCTGAAGAGACACACAGGGCACGCTGTGCATTTGCTTGTCGAGGTCTTGTATTACAGCAGAAGGGTTCCTGTGTCTTCCCTGAGGTTAATGCGCAGCTGCAGCTGAGCGCATGTGTCGCTCCAAAGTCATGGCCAGCTGCAGTGGATTGGTGAATTGTACCGCAAGGGCCCAGGAGCAAAAGAGTGCTTGGTTGAAGCCGGCAAGCACATGGATAAAGCAAAACCTTGACTTGCCTTTTTGCTCATTTGGCTTGTTCTCCCTGATTCTCTCTGAACTTTCTGTCTGTTCACGTATAGTTCTGTGTGATTCTCCTTGTCTCCAACGGATGCACGCACACCCCCTCTCTCTCCCTTTTTCCCTTGTTCCCCTGTCTCTCTCTCGCTCGCTGTTTTGCTACCCTTCTCTGCACTCCCCTTTTCAAGTTCCTGCGACTCCCTTGGCTGTAATTAACTGATTGCTAGGCAATGCGTGCTTGTACACTGGCTCAAGTTGTGACTATCCCGGCACAAAATGTGCTGTTCTGCGAGCGAACGTCTGGAACCTCCTTAGACTGCTGACTCAAGTTTTCCACAGAAGTGACCAGCGCGCTTGGACGAGGACCTTATCTTGTGCTTCTGTGAGCTTGGGTTGGCGTTTTCAACAAATCGAACTGGACTCATGCTTGTACAGCCTGAAGTGGTCCTTTCGCGAATTGGCAGTCTTGTATGCTCATCCATGCTCATTTCTAAAAAATGCCGTATGTGGCAGTGTGACTTTGATGTCTGGCCAGCAGGACTTCCAAAGATGCAGGCCTCAGCAGCGTTGTGCATTCCTCAAACTTACAGATCACAAGCTCTGCTGAAGATGGAGGCAACTCCAGCGTGTGCAAATGACCAGATGTCGCTTAGGCGACCCCTGACGGCTTTCATACTTCTGGACGTTGCCAATGGCATACTCCGGGTCAGCCGGTTTGTATTGCCTGGCAATGCACCTGTGGCATGCTGTGTATGTTCTGCTGCATTGTCCACAAACGGTGCTGGAAACTAGGAGCTGTACACCACAAATGCGGCTTGCAAAGCGCAGTACTGCATCAATCCAGCTGGGGCCCCTGCATGATGCCTGATGCCAGTGCAGGCAAGCTAATTCTCCAAAGCAAGGGTTCCCGCTTTTGCAACAGTTTGAGGCCTCAGCGCAGTTGTGCTGAGGTGTTCCCGGCCCTTCAGGATCTTCCCAGATTGGAGAAACAGAGGCGCTGATTCCATGTCGGATTTGCCTCCAGTGATGCTCAGACAACCCTTGAACTGAATTTCTGCAAAGCCCATTGAATTCCTTAAATGCTGGGAAGCTTGATTTCGAATTGTCGGAACCTGTATTTGGAGCGCCAAACCTTGCATAGCTAGCATGTTAGAGAGTTTGGATAGTTCCCGAGTTCCGCAAGAGGATTGAGAGAAGTTGAAGCAATGGATGAGGCCCAAACAGGCAACCTGAGGGCTTCCAACGGTGCAGCCCAGACAGCTCCCAGCCTGCCAGGCAGGTCCTGCTAAAGCCGAAGCTGACAAAACTTGCCTCTCCCAAAGCTTCCAAGGAACCTCAAAAAACCTACTCCCAAATTTGCCGGATCGTGCGTAGAACTTTAAACCCTTCCCCGCAAGTTCCTCGCCTGCTCTTCTCAACTGGCATTCTATGCCGTTTCCAGATCCGACGAGAGAAAGCCGCAAGACATTCTCCAGACTCAGGACAACTCGGAAGGCCTTACAGGCGCTCTTTTGACAGAGCCTGCCGCAGAGGCCTCCCAGGCCCTCCCTCATACTGCAACGCCTCGCAGAATCGAGCATCACTTGCTCCCGAGAATCTCCCAGGAACCTCTCATCATCTCCCTTCAAAGCTCGAAAGGACAAAGCTCATCCAGCGACCTCCCAGGAAGTTCCAGGTGCTACACCAGCACTTGCTTCCCCAAACTCTCCACAGGGTGACACTTTCCCCGCCTTTCGTCTTTGAAGGACTTTCTTTCTAGGTGTCCAGATGCCCATCTAGGCTTTCCAGCCCCTAGAAAAGTTCCAGGGGGTTCCCCCCAGATCTGCCCAGAGTTCCTGCTCACTGAAACAAGCTCTTCGTAGAGCGACGTCTAATCTCCCAGGGTTATTCTATCCCGGAGGCGTAAGCCCCCAGAACCTCGCAGAACCCGACGCCTTTTCCCAGCCTCCCACACCGGGGCCTGCAAGAGGCTACGAGGGCCTGGCAGGGCTGAGGCCAGTAGCAATTCACCAGCGTTCCATAGCCGCTAGCCAAACAGGACTGTCTTTACTTGTTCGAAGCAGTGCGCAGCAGGCAACCAACATCTGCCGAGAAGGGAGAGCCAGCTTTTTATTCTACAGCCGCACGACACCTGCAGGTGGGGCAAGCACAGCTACACTAACTTCACGAAATTCATGAAGTTTTGCTGGCAGCTTGGTGGTGCCCGTGGTCAAGTCCTTCAAGATGTAGCGCAACAGTCGTGATGCCGCCAGCTGAGGCGGGGGGGCGATCGACTACAACATTGCAGCTGCCTCGGTTGCTAGCTTGTGTCGGCAGCGTGCTCTAGGCCCTATGCAATTGGGCTGCTGACAGATTCTTGATTGTGGGGACTGGACATGAGACTAGCTTGTGCCCTGCTGCTTGTCAATGGCAGAATTTCAGAACCACTCACGACATGGAGGTAGCCCTCGCATAGTTTAACAGCATACTTCAACGGACATTAGCGCTGGCAGAACCAGAACGCCACCATGCAATCTGCACTGATGAGTTGAAGCTGCTATTATCTATTCTGACGTTCGCGTTGTCGGGGTCATCTGCATGTCGCAGCACAACCGGCCTGGTAGGCTTTGCCCTGGGTCAACGGCTCCCACAACGCGACTCATTTGCAGGACTTTGCGTGCTTGCCCCTCAGAGAAGTGCATCCGGCACCGCAAGCTGGCCATAATGAGTGTCTCCACCAAAGCAAACGAACATGACCAGTGAGTCAGCAAAGGCATTCAGAGACTTCAAGGCTTGTTGAGGCAACAATAAAATTAAGACAGTGGCCCATTGAGTAGCCCTGACTCGCGCATCCGCCTTCTCACCCAAACGTGGTCCGCAAGGTTTTACAAATCCTTTGCACAACTGCTTCGATTGCCGGGTGTGGACTGGCAGGAATTGGCGACTGCGCAAGACCAACACGCAGCGCAGACGCGACTTGGAAGAATTATACCGGCAGAGCTCTGGGTTGCCCAGCCCAAGGACACTCAAAATTGAGGGACGACTAAGGAAAAGCAAGGCTTCAGCACAGGCTGCATATGAAGCTTTGTTTAGGGCGTATTCTGCTGTAGTTTGGAACCCAGGCAAGCCGCGCTAAGGCTGAATCCCGGAAACATCCCGCAAAAGTTGGCCTTTCAAGGAGAACCTGTCCAATGAGCACGTAGAAAGCTTTAGCCTGCAAAGTTCTAGATGTCCCTTCGGAACCCTTGTTGAGGAGCTTAGAAGATTCAAGCCTTGAAACTTAATCGCGTCACATTGGTAGAACAAGAATTCCCTCGGTGCCATTTTGCGCGAAGATTGTTCTGGAAAGTATGTGAAACATATTTTTCAAGGAATCGCTCAGCAGACGAACACCTTACAAAACAGCTACGACAGAAGCAGGTGGCAGCATGTCAACTCCTTCGTAGTTCCATGAAACTCTGAGCTATGGCCACCCTCATCCAAAAGCCTCAAGTTATTCGACGTGCCAGTTGGAGAGGTCTGAACGTCACGAAGAATCCATTTAAGCATAGACGTGCAGGGCATGGCAATGCAACATATGCAGAAATTGGGTTGTAAGACAACCATGCCTGGAATCTTCAGATTTTTTCCACCTGACTACAAACCTTCAGTGCCCTCTTGCGGGACCAAAACAGCATCGCATAGACTCCGGGAACAGTACGGCGCATTGCATGTGCCACCGCAAATGGCAAATCTTCTGAGCTTGAATAGCCTGTGACATCGAAGCATGTGAATGACAGTCGTTTTTTGCAGCGTCGACCCGTGGCAAACTTTGCGGTGCTGATTGAGAGAGGGCTTTACCGGGGCGAGGGCACCTTGTATTCTTATTCAAAGGCGAGAAAGATTCTGTGAAATGAAAGAAGCCTTACTGATTTTCTGAATTCTGAGGGTTGAAACAGCAAGAGTTTTCCGGGACCGCAGCAGAGGCTACAAAAGATCTTAATTTCTCAATTTGGCTTTGACTTTTTTCAGGCCTCCATGGCAAGGGAGCAGGGAACCATGTTCCAGGGTCACCTTTCAAGAAAGTGCTCTGTTGCCTAACGGCCAAGGCACCTTCCTAAACATCGGCTTCATTCACAGAACCCTTGTAGGGGCTTGAATCCCCCATGTACATATATATATATATATACAGTCATCCATGTAGAGTTTACATATATATATATACATACACGCACATGCGGTAGTTTTGCTCTAAAGCGCCCGAGAACCGATGGAAAAAAACTCAGGGTACATCAGGGGACCATGGACTTCTCGATTTCAGGAAGCAACGGTTCAGCATGAGCTGTCCTTTCTTCAACACTGCCAGCGCTGTACATATCAGCGCAGCTTAGATAGTGTGAACGATCTCATTCCAGCTGAACATGTCTAGGCATTGTTGGGGTCCAGCGACAGGGGCCCGGAAATGTGTACATTTTGGATTGCCTCCTCGACGGAAATCTGGGTTCGCTTGGGAATGGGTGATGTAAAGAAAAGCAATGGTCACCAGCAAGCCCGAGTAACTCTGGAGGTCATCCTGGGGTCTGCACTTGAAGAGGTCGCTCAAAGCATCGCTTGCAGTTTAGCTTCGGTTGACTTCCATTTTCAGCCAGCAAGGACTAACAGACCTCAAGGCTTCATTGAGTGTCAGTATCGCTGCCTTGACGTTAGCAAAGGTACTTCTACCACCTCTCTGCGATGGGTATTGAGCCCTGGGACCATGCAAATCCCTTTGAGGCCTGTGTTCAGAAGCGAAAATTTGTCTTGCAGCCAGGCAGCGCTCACCTAAAGCCCCAATTGAAAGCAGGACTCATCCAGTTTGGATCGATCCTGTGCGCGCGAAGTTGCGAGGCGTCCGGTCACCCTGAATTGTTCTGAGACAGAATAGCGCTGACACTCCAACGCAGGATGGCATGCTTCACATACCTTCCAGCTGCTATCCACAACGTACCGGACGGAGCTGAAGTCAGGCTAGGCTGCTGAATCTTCAGAGGAGAATTCTGTCTTCATCTGGGTGCAGCATGGAAAGGTACCACCGGCCATGCGACACGAGCTGTCAAGGCTTTCTTAAGGCGCACAGAAGCTTTTTCAAAGACATTGTGTGAAGCCTCATTTTGCTTGGCTTTTTGCAGGAGCGAATTGCTTTTAAGTTGAGCTCTAAGTTTGCGTCATCAACTCTGCCTGTGCGGGAGACCTGTGGCGTCGAGTGCTGTGATGAGAGCACTACATGCGTCGGAGCCTTATTGCAGTATATTGCAGTGTAGTTGCCACAACAACTTGGGATTAAACTTGGCCAGCCTCTTTGGCCACAGGCTTTGGCCCATGCCAAATCTTAGGACAGGTGCTGAAAGTGCCTTTCAGTTCACTTCGCATCGCTTCACCACACAGCGGCTTCAACATAAGATCTCTCACAGATCTGCTTGCACATGCTTGGTCTGAATGAGTGCCTGTGCTGCAGATTTGTTACAGTACGCAGTTTGCTGAGCACAATTAAGCCTTGCTCTCAGACCTGGTCCGCCTCCATTTCTGCGAGCCTGCCAGAGCTAGAGGACGGATTTGCGCACGTGCAGACTTCAGATGCTTGCGACAAGCGCGGACATCCTTTCCGCACGTGTCCCCACTGCGCATCCCACATGATCTCATTGATGCCATAGATCGCCCAGACCAGAAACCCTGAGACATCTCAATGAGTATGCACTTGTTGCTAGCCCACTGTTATGCAACATGTATCTTCCTCTGTCAGCGCAGGCTCCAGGACTTGCAGCTCCCTCATCGAGCTGCTGCCCGGAGAAGGCTGATTACCTCACCTGAACATGTCTTCTCATGAGCACTGAATTTGAGTAGTAGTGACCTACGTGATTTCGAGCCATACTTCAGGAGTTCAAGGGGAGCAGTCAGTAATTCAAGCTACCTCCTTGACTCAAACAGACTGGTGTGCTGTAAGTTTCTGCACGAGGTGTTCATGAAGTGGTGAAGGTTTCCATAGAGTGTCCACAATTGATGAATTTCAGGAGAAGACTGGCGATCAACATGCCGAAGGAACATCAGTTCCAGATCGACCAAGGCAGAATCAACGCAGGATTTCTTGTGGTTTGTCTCCGAGTGGCTTATTCAAGTTGGCAAGGGGGGGTTAACCGCTACTATCGCTGGAACGTCCTCTTGAAGTATGGACTCTGCATGAAGCCACCAACTTGTGGTCGAAGCGCAGTCTGGTTGCATGTCCTGGCCTCACGTAGAGGCGTAGAGGAAGCCTTACTAGATTACTGGTCGGATTGCGAGCTGATTCGTCATCCAAGCATTGAAGGAGCGAAGGCTCCAATTGAATTTACCAGAATAGTGAGTGAAGGTCATCCAGGAATGTGTAGTGCCTGTGGCATGGTCAAGTGTGGAGCTTCGCCTGCCAGTACACAGCGGAGCGTCATTCGTCGCTTCGCAGGGTTCCGGAGCCGTCGACGGTTTGATGCAACCAGTTAGTAATGCCCTATTTGGCAACTCTGCTAAAACCGGTTTGAAACTCAATTTACATAGGCTTACTTTCAGCGGCGATGATGCCCTCATGAATCCTACTTGAGCACGTAGGCAGGACGGTCCAGCGTACGCTTTTTTGTGGCAAATCTCAGCTAGGGGGCTTAAAGCAGAAAGTCAAGCCGTGTCAGTTGTTGTTCGTTTGTAGCTCTCTCTAGGTTGATTTGGCAGGTGGTGTCGGAGCCGGCTTCATGCATTGCTTCCATTGCTAGCAGCACTGCGATCTGCGCACAGGCACACTCAGGATGAAAGTGGTCGAGACATTGTCCTGCTCCAGGGGCCGGGCATTGCAAGAGTCGGACGTGAAACCAGTTCATGGCTAGGAGATTTCTACTCGTAGCAGGGGATCAGGATAAGATTGGGCATTCTCTTGGCTGAATTCAAGGGATACTGAGAGACATTCACGCATCTCGGATGAACAACAACTCAGAGGACAGCTTTTGGAAGATTGTCAAATCTTGAAGCCTTGCGACGTCTCAGCCCTTGCAGAAGTCATGCACCAGTGCGTCCGGCCTCCTGGAATCTTAAAAGCCTCGACCTCCTCCTCCACAACTAGATGGCATTTCGCAACAGCAAATTCGGTCACAAAAATCTCAGAGGTGTAGCGACAACTTGGCATCATACTAGTCTACTCAAGCGTGGGAGCTCGATCGGCTCCTGCTGCTCCTGTTACTTGGATCTCTTTTGTTATACTCCAGTGTGGTCATACATTGTGTTGTTGCTCGCCTATGGACGTGTATTAAATGAGCCTGGAGCGGGTGGCATGCTCATACTCGTACTCTTTTTGGAACATGGATTCTGCATGAGCTGTGACACAATCCGATCCAATCCTGACAACTTGTGGTTAATTGTCAAGTTTTTTGTGTGTAGCGGAAGGCGATGTATTCAGCCAAAGACGCTTTGATGGATACGTGAGGATACGTTCGCTGCCAAAGTGTTGGTTGTCAAGCTGCCAGGTATGCTCCAGCAATTGAGGGCCTGTGTACCGGCCGATAGGCTTGAAGCGATGATCCCGCGACAAAACATAGCGGCAGGGAAAAATGCAAGCGTGCATCCCAATAATTCACTCCACAGCCAACGTATCTAACGCTCCGATTTCTACGGGGTTTGGCTTCCAAAGCCGTCAGGATCACGCAGGGCTAGAAGCTGGGGGATTGGTTTCCCACATGATTGATTCATCCAGTTCCTTCGGTCCTTGCTAAGTTATCTTCCGCGCTGACTCTGGCACTCATGAGGCCGAAGCCTGCAGGAGTACTTTCCATGAATCTGTTCCTTATGTTCTTCAGGATCTCGGGCATTTTTTGCTGCTAGCCATTTGGGGACATAGACACAGACCTCTCAAGCTCTGAGCATCCCCACACCTACTAGAAGAACAATGGCGTTCAGTCACAACGCATGAGCTGCGTTGCAGACATGACCTTCGGTTAAGGTTTAGGGTCATATAGGGTTTAGGGTTTTGACCTTCGGGACATGCAAGGGATTTTTGGCCTAGACGTAAGCAACCCCAAATCAAAGGTGAGATTTAGTTGAATTGCCTACGCATGGATGCTTTGACGGTGACAGTTCGTAAACTCACCGGCGAGACTGCAGAGCCCCCTGGCAGCAATAGCAAGAGATTGCGGAAAGCCATGCTGGTCTGGAGTGGTCCTTGGAGTCCTGCCCTTTCCCAGGTGCCAGGCAAACTTGTCCAGCAGCGTTGATGCCTTCAAGCACAAGATCGCTGAGAAGGCACACCCTTCGGGATGCCAGTAGCATTCAGTTCACGAAAGCTTTGTTCGTGGGAATGTTGTGCTGGCATGCATCCTGAATGTCCTGAGCATGGCAGAACACGTTGGAACTCGGACTCAGGAAAGACGCAACTGGTGTAGAAAGCTATTGCAACTGCTGGTGTTTGGGAACGGGGTCTTGTATGATCTCAAACGTACGCCAGAGCCGGTCTTTACAAGCATTGCTGGATTTTCTTCACTAGCCTTCAAATCGATGTGGCACTAGAAAGGCACTTGGGGAGGCAAGGGAGGCATGTTTGGGACTATCGATAGCTTGCTGGCCTCGCAAATGCTTAGTTAGGGACTGGGCTCTAGAAGAAGATGCGCACGCCATGTCGAATCCAGGGTCCAGAGCCAGGGCAGCCAGGGGCCTGGGCTAGGGCTTCTCTTTCGGTTCCAGAGTCCCAGAAATTCCCAGGGTCAACAATTAAAGGCCAGCACTCAGGTAAGGAGAGCCATGTTGTTGGGCTAACGTCATTCAGCTCCGAACATTGCTGCAGCGCCCAAATGAAGAGAGTTCCTCCAAACATTGACAGCAGGTTTGCGTGCCAGCTATATGCCAGAGACTGACCGTGCATGATGTTGATGAGACCTTTGCGGCGGTTCTTCTCGAGCAGACGATGCCATACCTTCTGCAGAGGATAGCCAAACCCATCGAAGATGTCAGCAGATCAGATGTTGCTGAAGCTTGGTCAATGCCCAGCACTGGTGTGTCTTGTTTACTGTTTGGCCTGGCAATTAAGAATCTGAGCTTTCCTTTGTCATGGCATTCTGGATGTAATAGCGGCCGCCAAGCCCTATGCTTTGCGAACACTCTGGTTGATCTGCCGGACAGGAAGTCAAAGCCTTTATGAATCCTCCAAGAATGATGCTACCTTGCCTCCATGTGGTGCTGCTACTGATTGGAAGCAGCAAGCTGATAGGCAAGGACACCTGCTAGCTTGCCCACGTGCTGCGTGCCAGTTTAATTGCCGCTGCAGCCATGGCAGGTGCAAAGAGGGATTCCGATGGTGTACCAACACCGATCTCCTGGGACCAGTGCAAGTTCATGATGAGGGACGTGAAGAGTTTCCTCACTGCCCTGCAGGCGCCTGCACCGTTTTGCTGATTTGCACTGCTTCTCAAGCACACTTAATTCAGCCTTGTCTGACAGAACTGGCCGACAGAAGTCCTGAATGGCAATGTTAGTCAGAAGCTCAGAGGATCGCGGAGTGATAGCGGGGGTAATCTTCGTGATGAATCCAACCGCAAAATGGGTGCTTTGGTCAAGAACAGCCCCTCCCGGTCTTGGTGCAATGAAAGATCCGGTCGATAGGCTAGCCGCAAGCGCTTTAAGGTACTGGGAGCAGGGAAAGTTCAGACAAACACAACGCCTTTGCAGTACGGAAGACACTAAAAACACTTGCAAAACACTTGAGGTGCTAGGCATGCAGAACCGTGAAGCATGAAACGTGAAGCGTGATGCCCTTAAAGCGGTGCAGAATAAGGCAGCTGCTTTCTTCGGCAAGCCTTTTGGAAGCATAGATTGAAGGACGGACCACTTCGATTGGCGCGTGAGCTGGCCACGAGACAGCAAAATCGGGGCAAAGCAACCGAAACTGGAAGTTAAATGTAATAAGGGTTCCCTTTGCGGACAGGCCTTGCAAGATCCCAAGATTGGCGATCCAATTTGCTTTCTAATGCTGCTGCTCTTGATTCAGCTGCACCCGAGCGGCTTCAAAAACCCTCGATACTGCAAATCGATGCAAATCGTAGTATGCCAGCGGAAAAAACTCTCCTTGTAAGCTTGTAGCGCAAAAGCTCATAGCATCTACGAGGGTTCACAAGAGCCAGCGCAGAAGCGACAGTTGCCTCCCCGGAAAAACTACTGCGGAAGGGCTGGTGGAAGCCCTTGTTTCCGCCTGGAATCCGCACACTGGGTTTCCAAACCACTCACTTGGGTTTAATACTCCATGGCGGTTGTCCTAAATCCCTTGTTATCATTTTCACAAACGAAAACTAAGTGTAAAATCACTTGTTCAAAAAAGGGCGCGCGCAAGGAACGGCGCAAGGGTTCCAAAAGTGTCATGGGCAGACACGAACACCAAACTGTGCAAGCGCAAGCTCGCGCAAGCTTCGCGCAAGCACAGCGCAAGCCTGCAACTTGAGATGAAGGCATGTTAGCCAACCCTGAAGATTTCTGCAAGTTGCTGTGAGAGTTTTGGGTGAAGTGCCAGGCCAAGTGCGGGACAAAGTTTGTTGGCAAAGTTTGAGGTGACGTTTTTGGCGAAGTTTTGGGCGAATTTCCGTGTCAGGTTTTCGGGCGAAGTTGGTTCGACGTTTTTGGTGATGTTGTCCGTGACATTTCAGTGAAATTGAGTAGAGTTGTCTTTTTTCTTTTGCAGAAGTCATTTAATTTTCACGTCCATTCTCCGCTCCATACTCCACCCCATACCCCGCGTAGTCCCCCAGCCCATGCTACACACCACAGTTTAGAGCGACCTCCAGCCAGTTCCACAAACAATCCCGCAGTGGCACCACAATCGCGTTGTTGAGGGTTGGTTGGTTGGTTCGTTTGTTGGTTTGCAATTGAGAGTGGCCCTCGCAACTCCTCAGCGATTATGAGAAGGTGTTCGAGATGTTCATGACTTCAAGTCTTCTCCCGTCGGGCTGAACCGGCTGTCTTAGATTTAGATCTTGGGTGGTCAGCCTGCATTCCGGATTTTAGTAGCGATGTTCAGTCCGATTGTGGCTTTACGTCACAGTGCCCAAACTTTGCATACATTGACAGGTGTTGCGGTTGGTGACAGCCCAGGTGAGAGCCAGGTGCGGCGTGCCGAGGAGCTCATTGAACAGTCGCAGCACTTCGAGCCCCGCGACCTAGCACGTGTCAGCGGCCTTGATGCCTATTAGTCCGGTTCTTTTAGAGATCTGAGTTCTCAGTCTTGAAAAGCTGTTATGGTACCGTTATAGCCCCCACTTGGATGGCAAGGGCTGCTCCAGAACTCAGGCCTTCTGGCCTCGAGGTTATGCGAATGGGTGCTTGGAGCCTTAAAGTTCTACAGGATGGATGCCCCAAGACTTACACAGCAGCGGGCTCCCGGTGCCTCTGGGTCTATGGAGCTGGAAAACCTAGCTCCTCTGAGCGTATACTGTCAGGATGACGTGCAAAATCTGCTAGTTCATGCGCGAGTAGCTGTAAAACACTGGCACTGTTTGTAAAGTTGCATCCTGGTTACGAGGACACCTCGGACTTTCAGTTGTCCCTGGTGGCCGACCTTGAACCTGTGTGGTATGCGTTAAAAGAGCGCCAGAAGGAAGTTATGGCCATTCAGGCCCTGGGAGTGCGGCTTGACAGCAACCCAGCAAGGTCCAAACCAACAAGAGTCCTGATAAAGCCGGCCATCTGTCTGGACTTCTAAGTTTCAGGTGGCATTTTATGAGAACTATCATGCAATCTAGAAATTCGCGATCATGGCCGAAGTAAGATGCCGCCTTGACAGGATGGGAAGCAAGTGCCCGGAGCGGGCCTTGCGAGAACTTGCTGCCAAGCTAATGGCTGATGGTCAGACCGTTAGGGAGGCGGCGTTGCGGGCCATACAGAATGCCTGGGCTGCGGACGTGGAGGCTTTGTCATTGCTCTTGGACGCATTGCCAATGCCCCATCAGCAACCATCCTCGAACGAGGCGCCCTTGCCCGCAACTAGGAGCTTTCGCAGAGACACTCCTGTTGCTTTTTTTTGCAATCCGCAGCGACTTACATGGCGCTGTAACTACTCGTGCAAGCATTTGCGAGCGTGGGCTTCTTCATCACCATCACATCCACCGCCACCACCGCGACCACCACCGCTGACACCACGCTCATCACCACCGCCACCACCATGCGGCAAGTGGCAAGACAAACGTTGGGATTTGCCTTGAGGGTCCTCAGCTATCCGTGGCAGATTTGCCTGTCCCCGAATTGCTAGCGTTGTCTGGGTCGAACAGAGGGTCTGCTTGCCCCGTAGCAGGAAGTACAAGTAGCTGTGCGGCCACGTTGGTTTCTTGGCTCTTCTTCTATGTCGTGAGACATTCTGACACAGAAGTTACCAACACATGCCAAGACTTCATGGAAGGACTTTCTCGCAGCAGTAAGCATGGGTATTTGAAGTGGATCCATGACACATCCTTCGGCACAAATATGGTGCCTCAGCCACAGGCGCCGGCGCCTGCTGTCCGATGAGGCGTAACGAAATTTCTAATGGTTTGCGATGGATCTGTCTCGAAAATGCATGTTGTACGACATTGCATATACAAAATCTCACATGACCTTACTATACAGAACTCGCACAATTCCCAGGGATCGCGGTACCTAGGGCGTGCGTCAACCAGGATACACGAAGATGCGGCATCAGGAAACTTGCGCATCAATGGCAGAATGGCACATGTTGCACACAAGGGAATGCAACGCTCAAAGGAGACGCGGTGTTTCAAACAGCCGTCAGTTTGTACTAGTAGGGCATAGGCCCATCCACAAACTTGGCCTGGAGCCCCCTCATCCACACCCAATCATCACATGAACCTCCACATGTTCCGACTACCTCCTCACCTGCATGTAAGCGCTAGTTGAACTGACTCTTGACGACGTGTTCTCGCACACGAAGCACCAAGAAAAGCAAAGCCAAGCTCTGCAAAAGCTGCTGCTTGTTATGGCTTGAGCCATACCGTGTTGCATTGCTTCTCGGAACTTGTTGCATCTTGCGCGCTGCTTCATGCCCGGTATGCTTGACAGTTGCGGCTTCTTGGTTTGTTGGCTTTGAGCTGGGCAAGGTGAAGAATTCATGGTTTGAGTTCTCACAGTAAGTGAGCAAGCATCTAAATGGTAGCCTTTTGTAGCAGTACTGCAGAAGGAAATGAGTGCGATGAGCTGAGGAAGCAATACCTCCCAAGATTCTTGGGTAAGCCTGAGTCAGGGGGAACGTCGATTCTCATACTAAACTTGTACTACGATGGGATGAAAATCCGGCCGGCTCAAGGGAACGGCGATTCCAG